TGGGGCCCGGGATCGCGGCGGCGCCACCCCGCCCCGGCCGCGGACGCGGGGCGCGCTCAGCCCACCCGCCAGCATCCCACCTGCGGGCCCAGGGGCGAGGCGTACCCCGAAACGTCGATGCGCGCGCCCAAGGGGCGAGGCGTGCCCCGAAACGTCAGCGCGGGCACAGAGGCGTACCCCGAAACGTCAGTGCGCGCGCCCAAGGGGCGAGGCGTACCCCGAAACGTCAGTGCGCGCGCCCAAGGGGCGAGGCATACCCCGAAACGTCAGCGCACCACAGACTTACAAACCACGCCCCACCGCACTTGCCACGAAATTGTGACGACGATAGAAATAAAGATGATGCTCAGTGCTGGCGAGGGGCAGGGCGAGATGACCGTGACACTACGAAATCACGGGCGTAAATCGGTGACGCGCTGTTGGCAAGGCAACCAGAAGATATTTATCAAGAGCCCTGAAAAATAGCCATACCGTTCTTGGGGCCTCTCCTAAGGAAATACCCAGAAAGACAAAACAGCGTGTCCGCGCTGCTAATCACAGTCTGGGGGCAGCGAGAAGGGGGCGCAAAGCGACCGGGCTGGACCAGCCAAAATCCGGGGCCAGCGGAACTGGTCATGTGATGCAATCATTAAAACCACGATTTGCGAGAACATCACGCAGGGAGATGTGCGTTCCCAGTGCACTGTGAATCTCAGCCTGTTCAGGCCTTATTTTCTTATGTGGGCAAATATCTTTTGACTCTTGGAAACTTAGAGTTAAGTATAAAATAATATGGGTTATTATTTCATTAATATTTTAATATGAAATTGTGTGGTTTTAAAATGCTTTGATACATTGCTATAAATAGAATATTTACAATTGAACATATTAGAATATTAAAAATGAGTTTTGTGATTTCAACTTAAAATGTATAATCAAGTAATTGACTTAGACTTATAAGTTTAAGTTGAAAGGAATACAAAAATAAGTTTAATTTGCTCTATTTATAAGCATTGTATAGTCTTTTACATGGTTGAAGTACTTGAAAAGAAACTCAAATATATTAAGTTCATAAAAGTCACTTAAAATGTTTAAGATAATTAAGTGAACGGTAAAAATCTTACTGTGATTGTTAAATTGTATTAGGTTTGTAAATAAAACAATGTACAAGTTGAATTTAAAAGGTTATCGGAAGCTGGATTTGTGGATTTGTAACTTCACTAAAGTAACTTAATTTAGTAACTAAAGCAGAGCCTAAGTCCCCTCTCTGTGTACACAACTGACTTCAAAGCAGCAGACAAACAGTACAAACAGAGACTCATGGACATGGACAGTAGACTAGTGGTTACCAGAAGGTAGGGGGGAGGAGGAGGTAGGTGGGGGTAAAGGGGTCAAATATGTGGTGGCGGGGTAAAAGGGGTCAAATATGTGGTGACAGAAAGAAATCTAACTATGGGCGGTGAACACACAATGCAATATATATATACCTTACTGTTAAATTGTACAGCTGAAACATCGGATTTTGTTAACCAACGTCACCATAAAAAAATCAAGCAATCGATCAATTAAAAAAAAAAAAAAACAACAAAAAGAAAAAAACTGACTTCAGAGTTCCCCCAGACTGCATAGCAAATGGAGACCGAGGTGAGATGCTCATGGGATCTACAATGTGTTTTTGTTTATACAAAATATTTTTCACAAAATCACAGCGTTTAGCTTGCCTGTTAAAGGCAAAACACTTAGAGCAACTGAAAACTGATCTCCAGATGAAGCTTCTATTACCAGCCGGCAAGCAAGACTCAGGGAATTTCAGAAAGCATCTCGAGGCTGCCTATCACCGTCGCTTTAGAAGTTACTTGGTGTGGGCAGCGCTTCCTTTGCTCCCGAGTGGAAATGTAAACCGTCCTGTGATTTTGCTGATCGCACCGTGGTGATCAAAGTCCCCAAGTTGCAAACACAGTCTCAATTTATGCAGCTGTAAATCTTACAATGTCCGATTCCATATAATACTCGGAGCCTTGACCTCGATTTAAAATTAGCCCTGCCCTCTCCCTCGGCAGCACCTAATGTGGTATAGTTTCTCTTCCATCCTCCCCAACGGGTGTGTCTCAGCTCCCAAGCTTGCAGTCCGGATTCTGGCCCTTCCAAGGCCAGAACAAACAAATAAGAGGGCAAAAAAAATTTCTTCCTTCCCGGGGAATGCCCAAGATGTTTTCTCACCTCTGAGTCTGGCAGGAGTTTGGACGGCACTTTCCTTTATTCTTTAGAAGCCTCTACTGGAACATTCTATGGCCATGGTCCAGCACATGCCTTCTCACTACCCTCCCCCTGTTGCCTACTTCCTCCTCAGTCCCTAGCAGCCTTGTAGTTTAGCTCAGTTCCTATGCTGAGCCCGGGGGCCCTTCTAGATGGCCACATGGGACAAGATTTCGTATAGGGAATTCAGTGGTCCCGAATCACCAGAGGGGCTGGAAGGGCAGGCTGTCCACTGGGCCACCTCCAGCCTGACTCCCAGAACCACCACCAGGGCTGCGGGCTGCAAGGACACGCCATCTTAACTGCCATCTAGGAATCGTCCCCAGCCGTCACTCACAGCGTGTGCCAGCACCAGCCGTGCCTGCTAGGTCTATGCTGGCAAAATAGACATCTCCCGCCAGCCTCGTGATACTCGTGAGTGGGGGCCAGATTCCCAACGGCCAGCAGAGCCAAACCAAACACCTGCAGGACCATGTTCACTAGCAGAGGCAGAGGAAGTGGCAGAAGCGTTCGGCCATTTCACCCCACTCTGCCTTCCGAAGCTCTGGGGAGCGTACCTGATGACACCTTAACTTGCTAAATTCCCACCAGCACCCAAGGGACTCCTGCTTTTTCATCTCTAGCTTCCGGCACACAGGGAAAAGGCGGGGCGGGGTGGCAGGGTGGCGGGGGGGAGGATGCCACGTGCTAATCCATACGAATCTTTCCTTACTGCGAAGAACTACACACCTGCCCTCCAAAGGAGCAAAAACATCAGACAGGTAGTTTCGTGAAAATATATCATCAGTTACTGAGTGAAAAAGTGTTGAGAGACCTCAGAGTCTTAGCATAAAAAGTTACAGACTTTTAATTGAAAACAAAGCTTCCTTTGGTAGCCATATGAAGACTTTGTTTTAATCTTTTGTTTTGTAATAAATGGAAAAAAAGAAAGGTGGGAACCTATACGGACCTAAAGTTTTATGAAGTAAAGTTGCCTAAAACTCTCAGTTTATTTTTATAGGAAAAGCTTAGACTCAAGAAAAAATATCTCTGGAGCTGATAAACACCGCTTATAGATAACAACAGGCTTAATTTTCCAAGGGCTGCAATTTAAAGTGCGTGGGGCAGCCGTTTCTAATGCCAGCTGAGTCCCAGGTTAAAACATTTATTTTTTTTATTTGGGGTCTTCTATATTAACTATCTTTCAGTTCAAAAGGTGATAAAAACAGATGGCATAATAGAATGGAGAAATTTAACATGAGCATTTTTTGAGTGTTTTCTTAAAAAAAAATACGTCTGTGGTCATCTCCTTCCTGGAGATCCCACTGAACGCAAACTCCAGAATCTTAGGCGCAGCACCTCTTTATTTCACTTAAGGGGTCGGGTTTCAGCACAGCCGATGAGGAGACTTGATGTCAGAGACCAGGATTCCAGGTAAAGCATGTGACAAGCACGATATGTCCTTCCATGAATTGCTTCTCCTGAAATCTGAATTTTTTAAATTTTGTCTTCTCTTTTGCAGAGAGCAGGCTGTTCCAGGTTGAGGGGCCGACCTCTGGGAACCCCCCAGAGTAAGAAAACAGGGGTGGGTGAGCCACGGGTCTCATTAGGCCGAGCTCCCCTCTGGTCAGCCAAGTGTCAGACTTCTCAGCTGCCACGCCGAGGGGCCCAAATCTTGGATCTTGTCAGTCTTTGGCCGAGGAGGGGACAGGCGCAGTGTCAGCATTCCGGGTCACCTTTGGCTTCCTCTCCGGCAGGGACCTGGCACCAATCACTGGGCGAATGTTCCAGAAAGCTTCCCAGGGCTCCTCCTCTGCCCTTTCTCAGCACGAATCCGGGGCTGAGGGAGGCGATTACGGGGTTACATGATTTGTTCATTTCTTTTTGTTTGGGGCTCTCCCAGATTCCAGCCTAACTCAAAGCTTGGCTGTTGTCCTCGTCCCCTCCTCCAAGGGGCCTCTCAGTGCCAGGCAAGGCCACTGCTCTGCCACCCACCCAGCTCGGTGACTTATCCAGGAATGCGAGCCGCTGTGCCTGGCTGCTCGTCCGTGAGAGAGGCGTGTCGTTTTCTGAAATTCTGTTCACCAAGGCTTCCCTGCAGCCAGCACCCCTGGGTGCCACCACAGAATCATGTTTGTTTGTGCGAGCGGTCATACCTGGGTCACCCCAGATCCAGAGTCTTTTGAATCGTTCTCCGTCAGAAGCAGAAGTCTCCTGCGGATAACACGTTAAAGCGGGATATCGAACATTTAAAAGAATTCTTTAACAAGAGGATGGAATTCTCTCTTATTTGATCGTATTTATCCCAAGGCCACTGAAGATTTAGAAAACAACTGAGCGATCTGCATTTAATGATATTGAGAACAGAAAAATATACGTGTAGAGAAATGAGGTCAGAATTATGACCCTGTAAGTGAACAGAGTATTTCTGACAAAACCTAAAAAAAATCTGCATTGGTATATATCCTTCCTTGCCAACATATTCTAAAACATACACATATATACGTATGTACATTCTAATACACACATATGTATATTTTTATGTGTATGTATGTATGTGCATGTGTGTGTGTATCTATGTATCTATGTATCTATGTATCTATCTATCTATCTATCTATCTATATAAATAATTTCCTTCCTGGAGGTAGATTAAGATAGCTTAATAACTGGTACTGTACTTAGGATACAGCAACATGAGAGATTATCACGGTTTACGTGTTTTATAAAACTAAATAAATTACTATTATAGTTTAGATTTTTAGCTCGATATGCCAATACTTAGCATACATGACATACGGATTAGAAGGGAAAACTGTCATATATGACAGAGAAAAGAATTATTTGAAGCTGGGGGTAAAGGAAGAAGAAAAATTGAGAAGTTCTCATTATTAAGATTAAGCATAATGAAATTTTCACTGGAAACACAAAACTAGATTCTAAATATATTAATAGAAATTGAATAGAAGTCAGAATCAACTTGTCCTGTCTTTCTGAGGATGGACATATATACATCTCTCACATGAGTCGTTGCAAGTGAGCCAGTTACTGGATGAAAGGTTCTGTACTTTGAAGACTGAACTGTTGCAATACCTCTACTCATCTTCATGATGAGATTAATAAAGCTGACTTACCTTTTTGACAGGGGCTGAATCCGGCCACAAAGAAGAAAGCAGAATCTAAAATCCAAGAGCTCGGAACTGTCAAATGCTGACTCCTTCCAACTGAAAATGCACTGAAACACTTAGAATTTCCAAAACCCAGAGTGAGCGCTTATTTCAGTTTTCTAGACCAAAGAAATTTTATGTCAAATCCCATAGTGCATTTTAAGGACAAAGCACTTATAAAGAAAAAGTCGAATTTTGTTTGCTTTATAATTATTAGTACTGGTATCACTATTTTGAATCTATTTCTCTTATTGGCAAGCCAAAGAAATACGTTATCATGTTGGCTTTGCTATGTATGAATCAAGAGCTTCAGAGTGACGGTTATGTTATTATAAAAAGATGCATAATTATAGTTTGAATATAGGATTAAAAATTTAAATATTGTGGTGGTGAAGTGATCTTAGGACTACATTGAAAATGGGTCTGCAGATAGTACACATGCATGTGTATGTACACGTATTTTTCCATCCTTGTCCACAGAAAGGGCCTACAAGTCACAGTATCCCAGCGGCGCTAAGTCAGATGAGCACCCCCAGAGTTCACAGTTTGGTCTCTAATATCGATTTCCACTACTGGGGCTTAGACTACTGGCCGATGGCATGCCTAGGATAGAAAAGGTGTAAAGTGGGCCTGGAGTATCTTGTTACCAGAAAGCAGAGATACTTTAAAAAACAATTGTGCATTTTTATTAAAAGGTGACATGGGACACTTAAAGGGTTCCTTTGGCTAAACTGTGACATTTTGATCACCGAAGAACTAGTGACTACAAATAATGGAAACGCATCGAGTCAACGAAAAGCCATTGGTTCATTACAGTATTCTAAGAGGGAAAAAAAAATGTGATATAAAAAAAAGGCTAGGAAAGACTGTATTATTTTAAACATCATTTTAATGTTTCTTGGCCCTGCTAGATTCATGCAATGTGAAAAGAATGCAGGATTCCACGAAGTTCCAGAAAACTTACGAAAGCATTACATTTGGGTATGAGGAATTCAGTGGAAAGGTGTTACGTGCCTTTGGAGCTACATGGAGGGATGTTTAAATAACCTGAGTAAATCAAAATATTGCAAATACCAATTTAAGCAGTGAAAAACATTAGCCTCCAATTCGTGAAGAGGCAGAATAAGACCTGTGGTTAGTTACGTCTAGGGATGTGGGCCAGAGACCATGCACTGTGGGGGTGGGGCAGCGGGGTGCCTGTTTTGGGGGGGATGGGGTGCGTTTCCCCACTGTTCTGGGCAGTAGGGCAGCAGGCACTGCATCTTGGACAGGGACTTTCTCTGACCTCTAGTGGTTCAGTCTGGTAATAACTGGAACCAACGACAATTTCAATAGGTCAAAAGGTTGAAAAGGCATGACGGGGCCTTTCTGTGCTTCTGGCTGGAATTCTACCCACTCAATCTGGTAACAGGACTGTCACACGGTGACTGGAATCTGTGATTGACAAACGCATTATTACTTAAATGCAGCTCGAGGGTCCAAACTTTCTAAAATTTGGGACCACAAAGAGAAAGCTAACAGGGACTGCTGATGAAAATGGTGGAAAGTGCTGGCTGCACAGCAAGCTGGGGGTCCAGAACCCGGGGGTCCAGAACCCGGGGAGCCTTCCCGGACAGGAGTTTAGACCAAATCACTCACATCGTTCGAGCCGGCAGAGAAACGAGAGGGCGAATGAATGGTTTCTCAGGCCACTTCTGTCCCTGGTTTTCTGAGAAGACAAAGCGTAGAAGAGTTTAAAAATGTGAACCAGTTTCTCAGTCTGGATTCACTTCTTTCCATAGTTAAGTCAAAACCTTTTAACGAACAGGATTATACTTTTAAAAGAAAGAAAACATCACTGCTGAGGTTTGAAAACCTGTTTTGTACTTAAATCCTGATGCGAGGGCTTGGATTACTCTACCCTTTTCAGCTCTTTTACAAACAGCCGAGAAAAAAAATGTCTGCTGTATGCATACCTTTTTTGAGGCCATTTAATCCTATAATAATAATAGAATGATGATGATGATGATGATGATGCATTTTTCATTCGACGAGAACAAGGGCTGTAAGAAAGCGACAGGAAAATGAAAACGGGAACTATCTTTTAAAAGAGAGAACAGCGGTGACATTGATGTGCTACCAAGTGCCATCAGGGCAGATTCTCCAGCTTTGTGTTTTCTAGTACTTGTCAGGTATTCTTTCCCCAAATCAGTTCACTCTACAGGGAGGGAAAAAAAGACGACCGTGAGATGCAAGTTCACCCCAAAGCATACGAATTTGTAATCACCCATCGTGAAAGAGCATTGAAAGCAGCCCACTGAATGCAGCCATCGGTACTGAATTTTATATGCTGATTCTCAAAACCCATAGCAATTCTTAATGAGATATGTGCATCTAGGGTGAGGGCGTGCCTCCTACGAGCTGGGGTCCCTTCTGCCCTTTGCTGTCGTGGTTGGGGTTTTCTTCTTTTTCTTCTTCTTGGTGGTAAACTATTCATCTAAAATGAACCATCTTCACCATGGTAAGTGGCCAGTGCAGTGCAGGTGAGTGCATTCACATTCTTGTGCAACCATCAACTCCAGAACTCTTCGCCTTACGAAACTACAACGCTGACCCCGTTAAACGAGCACTCCGTTTCCACCTTCCTCAGCCCCTGGCCGCCGCCACCACCATCCTACTGCCTGTCTCTGTGGAACTGGCTACTTGCTGCCTCACGCAGCATTTTTCTTCTTCTGACTGGCTTACTGCCACTTAGCTTAGTATTCATTAAGGTTCCACCAAGCTGTAGGAAGTGTTAACATTTCCTTCCGTGAAGCTGAATACTATTCCATTGTTTATCCGTTCCATGTTGCTTATCCATCCATCTATCAAGGAACACGTGGGCTGCTTCCATCTTTGGACTGTCGTAAATGATGCTGCTATGAACATGAATATGAATATCTGTTTGAGTCCCGGCTTTCCGTTCTCGTGAGTGTATTAGGGATGGAATTGCTGGATCATATGGTAATTCTATTTTTTCTTTTTTCTAGTTTTATTGAGGTATAATTGACAAAACTGTAACATTTTGAACGTACGACATCATTTGATATACGTGTAAGGATTTCTATTGAGGTAATACATCCATTGCCTCACTTATGTATGTGCGTGTAAATATGTACATATATTTACATTTTGGTTTGAACACTTAAGATCTACTCTCAGCAAATTTCAATTACATAATACACTATTATCAACTATAGTCACTGTGCACCATACTTTAGATCCTCAAACCTTATTCATCTTATAAAGTTTGTTCCCTTTTACCAACCTCTCCCCACCGTCCTCCCGGCTTAGCCGCTGGCCACCACCATTCTACTCCTTGTTGGTATGAGTTTGGCTTTTTTTTTTTTCACATATAAGTGATACTATGGAACATTTGTCTTTGTCTGGCTTATTTCACTTAGCATAATGCCCTCCAGATTCACTTATGTTGTTACAAGGTATTTTTTAAGGCTGAATAATATTTCATAGTATATATAAATACCACATTTTCTTCATTCATTCATTCGTCCGTTCGTTGTTGGACACTTAGGTCATTTCCATAGCCTGGCTCTTCTGAATAATGCTGCAATGAACATGGGAGTGCAGATCTCTCTTCGAGAGAACGGTTTTGTTTCCTCTGGAAATATAGTCAAAAGTGGACTTCCCGGATCTATTTTTATTATGGTAGTTCTATTTTTAATTTTTTGAGGAACCTCCGTCCTGTTTTCTATAGTGGCTGCACCAGTTTACATTCTCACCAACAGGGTCTAAGGGTTCCCTTTCTCCACATTTTCACTAGCGTGCATTATCTCGAGTTTTTGGTGAGTTATTCCAAGAGGTGTGAGCTGAGAGCTCGTTGCTATTGATTTGCATGAGTTCTTTGTATATTTTAGATATTAACCTTTTACCAGACATATGGTTTGCAAGATTTTTTCCTATCTATAGGTTGCCTTTTCATTTTGTTGGTTTCCAGAAACGTTTCAGTTTGATGTAGTGTCACTTATTTTGGCTTTTCCTTCCTTTGCTTTTGATGTCAAATCTAAACTATCATTGCCACGGTCAATGTTCAGCTTACTTCTAATGTCTTCTTCAGTTTCACAGTTTCAGGTCTCATGTTCAGTCCTTCGCCCGTTTTGAGTCGATTTTTTGTATGGTGTTAAGACAGGGGTCTAGTTTCATGCTTTCACATGTGGATATCCAGTTATCACACCACCATTTGTTGAAGAGACTGCCCTTTTCACACTGTGCATTCTCAGAATATTCTTAGCAAAACTTAACGGACCATATATGCAGCGGGTTTACTGATGGGCTCCCTACTCTGTTCCATGGATCTGTGTTATCTGCTTTTATTCCGGTGCCATGCTGTTTGGATTACTATAGCTTTGTAATACAGCTTGAAATCAGGGAGCTTATTGCCTCCAGCTTTGCTCTTCTTCCTGCAAATTATTTTGGCCCCTTGTGGTTCCATACTAAGTTTAGGATAGCTTTCTCTTAGACTGTGAAAAAAATGCCATTGGAATTTTGATAGGGATTGCAGTGAATCTGTCGATTATTTTGGGTAGTATATGGACATTTTAACGATACTAATTCTTCCAACCCTTCCCTTTATTTGAGTCTCCTAATTGCTCCTCTCTAACCACAGAGCAAATCCGAGCTGAGGCTGCCAATCAGTGCTTTCATAATGTGCTTCTCATCCACCTACGTGAACACTGGCACTCCCCAGAACACGTGGTTTATTGCGAACATGTGTCTTACGACCATGACTCACTTGGAGCCTTTCCTCACGCATTCCTTCCATCTAAAGGGTCTTTTCCCTTCTGCCTCTTAAATTTCGACCACCCTTCAAATCCCTCAAAACGCCTTCCTTTCTCATGTCCACACGAAACTCACCTTTCTCTGTACTCCGGCAGTGCATGTCGTCTGTGCTTGAACATGCGTCGTTTCCCGTTTGGGTGTGTTTTTGTAGTTGTTGTGTCTTCTCAAATGGACCTGAATCTTGGAGAACTAGAAATCTTCTTTGGCAATCCCTTCATATGTCTTAAGACACAGTAGGTACCTCGACAGACATTTTTAAAATGAAGATCGTCTTGATTAATTTACACATGCTGATGGAGTCGCTTATTTACAGGAAATCGGTATCTCGCTCATCACGTTTATTCTGTTGCCCACATTATGAAGTGGTACTGTTGGTTAAGAATCACTTCGTAATAAAGCCTTTTGGACTTTACACCAAATTCTACCTTAGAGAATATTATTGGGTCAAGGTTCTGGACTATATTTCATATTATTTATCGAATTTTAATTTTTCAAATTAAATGCGGTGCCCCAGTCTCTACACGGTAATTAATTTAATGTCAGGGATGTTATATCAAATAATACTTAAACAGAAACCAAGGAAATCCTGATATCATGTAGCCAGTGAACATAAACTGGTATTTATTTATGCAAATATTGTAAAATTCCTTTAAATCTTCAAAATAATTATGTGGTTATGAATATATAAAATGGGAAATCTAAAAGTGAATAGCAAGATTTCATTTTTAGCTCATAAAAAATATTGCAGTAAAATTCCTTGCCATAAACACAGAAGAGTTGACAGAGTGAGAAAATAATTCAAAAATCGGTTTTTACCTTGGAAAAGGCATGATGTCTGTTTTTTCAAAAGTATTTCAACAATAGGAATTCCGATAAAAATATTAAATATTTCTTGTCATAACGACACGTTGAAAACCTACGGAGAGTTTCACCCGCTGCCAACTAAATTTAGAGCCCGTGAAATAAAATCCCCATACGGAATACTTTCGTTCTAGAAAACAGGTCATTCACATTCTGATAAAGAGCGAAGGACAAGTGCTTTATTATGAGAACGGTTCAAGTCAGATTTCAGTTTGCACCAGTGAAAGTAAGAAGATCTGCATCGATTTTTTTTTGAATGAACACTGGATTAAAAAGGGGCTACACAGCTGTGGTTTTGTTGTTGTTGTGTTTTTTTTTTTTTCCAAACACCACCCTTTGCTAAGGCAAAAATACACTTCATTCTAAAACAGTACAGAAGAAAGCGACATCACAGTACAGTACAGAATGTAAGATTCATCCTAGTCTGGAAGCCATTATGACATGGCAGGTCACCTACACTGAGAGCTTTCTAATGTAGGTTAGAATTACAGTATTTATCACAGCTTTATTGTTTTTTCAACTGATAAAATTTGAATACACTTTCTATTTCTCAGGAGTGTGCAGATGGGGCCCATCCATGTGCAGATATTACAGTAATTACAACATTAAATAACATTGCACAGTCAACCTCCAGGGCTAATCCAGTATAAAATAACAAGTATTAAAATGTACCTTTACTAGTGGTTTTACATGGCATATATCACTAATCGTGAAAGAAAAGTGGGCAAATGCCCGATCACAAAGCTGCACGTTACAGGCGTAACGATGTGGCGTAAGTACAAGAGATCTGGCAAAATAGTAAAAACGAACGGGTTACATGGGGAAACCTGAACAACCACATGAGCGTAAATCAGTGATAGGCTGTTATCAACAGTATGTTTTGCTCAACTTCTCTTAAGTACTTACGTACAGGTGTCGGGGGTAGGTGCAAAGGACGGGAAGAGAACGAGACGAACGCTCCCAATGCCAGTTAATTCCTGAGGTGGCATTATGTCTTAACTGATGCACTGCTCGACACTGTAGAGACGCGTCTGTGCTACGAAACAGTCCCAACATTATCATATTCCCGCAATGACACTGTGGTATTTGGAAGGCAGCAAACCTACGTGACAGTTTACACTGTAACAGCCAGAGGAAGTGTCGATTCTTTTTAATTTTGCTGCTACAATTAGCAGTGGGCCACAAAACACTTTATAAAATCCCAGAGAAATCTGATGTAGGTTTCACGCTCCTCCCAGTTAGCTCAAGGCAAAGCTATTGTTTATTCTCGTGTACTTTATTTTAAAAACTCTAAGTGCCAACGTTGTAAACATTTTGTATCTTCTCAACTAAACCTTGTCTGGTAACAAGGATAAGAGCCAAGAGAAGCAGGTTATAATTCTGTGTATAATAAAACTGATCTATTGATCAGCTTCTGGGTTAAACTTAAAATACGATTTTAAAATAATTTTTCAAAGTACATGCTACAATCATAAAGACTATTTCTGTGCACTTTCCATTCCGGACACGATTTCCAAAATGGCGTGATGGAGGTAAGAATTTCAAAACCCACCAGAATGGAAATAACAGGGAAGAATATTTTCAACTCAGAGCATCAAACGTACATCTCTGTGCAGAAATCTAGACAACTATACAAGTCTTTAAGCAATCATCTGTTTTATTATACAACTCTATGAACAGAAAATGAACAGAAATACACAATATACTTACCTGTACAGGTGAACCTACTTTTTTAGCTACAGATATTATGGTTCATACTGCCTTTAATCTTACAGTTCATAACTATGTATAACCTTATTGCATGAAGGGCAAATTCTACACGGGGAGGTTCACAGGCCAGTCACGTCAGGTGCTCCCAGTACATTCAAAAACCGTACCTCATAATCTGGCTGTTATCTTCCCTGAGCCTGGAAATTTCGAGTTGCTTTACAGTTTTAGCTCATTTGCTATTTTGGACGCAACGTTCTTAAAGGCGATCGACGTTCCCGAGATGCGCTTGAAGCGGACCCCGTTCAGGGACAGCCGGGGCAGCTTGCAGACTTCCATCTCCCACTGCACGAGGCTGTCCTGTCGGGCGTCTCCGTGGACACAGAAGAGCAAAAACCTCTCTTTCTGTTCGTAATCGCAGTTGTTGGCGTCCAGCACCTTCCGGATCTCCCGCATCATGTCGCCGGGGTCCATCGAGCTGGTGGTCTTCATGCTCCAGGTGAAGCGCAGGGAACGCGGTTTGCAGTCTCTGGCTTCGTCCTTGTCTCTTTCTTTCGGCTCCCCGGATGTGCTTCTGGGAGGAGCGGGCAAAGGAAGAGAACGGAGAGAAAACCCCATTCAGCACAGGAATCGAGGCGCACGTGAACTCTAAGGGGTCGTCATTCGGCGCTTAATACAACTGCCTGATTTGCAGACTGCCTTCGGGTAGACACTAAGATTTCTGTGACTCTGCTGTTACGAATGCGGACCCCCCTAGACGGCCTCTGTTTTGACTTTCATTAATATCCTCGATCTACAATAACATGTTTTCTTACATATATCGGTTTGTGGGAAACGAGTTTGCAGGCGGAAGTGAAGAACTTGATAGTTTTTCAGTTCCTTCCACACTGTTTCTTTCCGTTTGCAAAAGCGGATTCTCCGCTTTGTACATGTGTACAAAAGACAGACCAAGGCCACGAGCATTCTGCTTGTAAATACACATTTTTGAAATATAAAGAAAACTTCCTTTTTTTTGGTACCTTTTTTGGGTAGGAAAAGACTGGGGCCGGGGACGAGAAGAGTGACAGCTCCAGAGGGATTATTCACACCTGACAACGTGGAGGAAGAAGGACGTATTGCAATAAGGCGACGACGTCAGGTCGCACCGCACACGAGTGCAGACACCGGGTCCTCTAACGGTGTCGACGCCTTGCTGAAGGATGTCCTTAAAATAGTCTCCACGCCACCTCCTGCCCCCAGCTCCTACCCCTCGTCGTCTATTGCTGACCCCTTTGTTCACTCCTATCGACACGCACTGACCTCCACGCTACTATTCCTTAAACGCACGGGGCCTGGTCCGGCCCGAAGGCTTTTGCGCAAGCTGCTCCCTTTGCCAGAAATGCCTTTGGCTCGGATGGCTGCATGGCTGTCTCCCTGTCTTCTTTCAAATGGCTGCCCACGTTCTCCATGGGATCCACCCCCAACGCCTTCTTGCACCCCAACTCCCACCCTGGCATGGCCGACCTCCCTCACCCTGCTCTGTTTTTCCCTCTGCGGCCCTGCTCACGTTCTGATACACTATTTAATACACTTATTTATGATGTTTATGATTTGTTGTCAGAATCTACCAAGAGGCTGGAAGCCCCAGGGGGCGCGGGAGCTGTGTCTGGTTTGGTCGCTGACACTGCCGGGCGGGCGTGTCACACAGGACGTGAACGGCACGCGGCTGTTCAGTGCGTCCACCTAACTTACTTTCCTTACTGTTCTATATAAATAATATAGAACCAGGAAGTCTATTTCACATAATTATGGAAAAGTAGAATTAATAAGGGTATCTGTGATTCAGAAGACCCTGCAATGAAATTTATTGAGCAATTATGCAAATATGGGTGTTCCGATTTTAACTTGTCAACCTAGCTCATATCCATGTGATTTAAGAAATGATGTACTTCGAAAGTTTATAACCCACTATATATTTCATACATTTTTATCAGTATCGTATAATATATATTCGTATACATATACATGTCTGAATTTTTATGTAAACATGTATATTTGTGCTTCCTTCTCATTCCTAGGTATCCGAGCCCCCAAAACTCTGTAAACTATGCGAGCTTGAGAAAATACATTTCCAAAGACTATTAAATAAGTACGGAGCGTATTTATTTCGGTGTCTTCCTCATCACCCTCTTTCTGCTCAATGACTCTAAGTCACAGGCCCCTGTGGGTGCAGGTCCAACCCGAGTCATTTACTGGGACCGCACGCGCGACTCAGGTTACCCAATCAGCATGGAAGGGACTGGAAGGGACCCAAGAGATCCCCTGGTCAAAAACTCGTTTTAAAAACAGAACCGAAGGCTGGAAACGTAAACGACTTTTTTTTAAGGTCGTACTGCTAACAAACTGAAAAGCGAAGGCTAGAAATCAGGTGTCTTATTCCAAGCCTGATTTTCCTGGCATCCCACCAAGGAAGCCTGGCGACCTTAAGACAACAGGCACATACGCGATGTCGCCTACGTGTATCTCGAAGGCGTTGCCAACGGTAACGGTGATGGGAGAAAATGCCGACACTAATGATCATGGCTACCGTTTATCAGGCACTTGCTGGGTGCCAGGAAGGGTTCCAAGTTCTTTCTTCATTTGTATCATTTCCTCGTTTGCCCCTCAGAACAACCCTACGAGGAAGTCTGAATGAGGAACTGGGGGCGTGAGGAGTCGAGGTCACTCTCCTACAGTCACATAGCTAAGTGGTAAGTGGCAGGACACAGCTCAGACCCACGGGGTCCGGCTCAAGAGACCGTGTCTCCCCCATCAGGTCCCACTATCTCCCTGAAATGACAGAACCTCATTGCTACTGGTCTGGTCCCACGCATGCTCCTCCCTGCTGCTTCTTCTGTAAAATGGATACTTTTCACCTGGTGGCTCTGAGGATCAATGGCCAGCAAGTACCTCGGAGACACTAGTTATTCAGTAAGTCTGTTCAAAAGCCCGGTGAGGACCGAACAAGAGGGCCGTGCAGTCACACGTCGTATCTGAGGATACGATGCACGCAGATGAACTGCAGTATTAGCAGCCACTTGTGACGCTACACGCTACTAAATGTCTCAGAGGAAAACTGAGTAGAAAGAGAGAAAGAGACGAGACGAGAGGGCTCAGAAATGGTGACTCGGTGAGGGAAGACAGAAGTCCTTCATGCTTATCTCACAGGCAGGAGACAGTTACAAGTTTCCATCCTGCCTCCCTCTGGCTCCTTATCACGGAGACTCAGGCACCTAACTCAACAAAGGACCATTTAAACTACCACGACTAAACGTAAACACAGCACGGTTTGTAGAAAGGACCGCGTGGGAATGCTTAATAAAGTGTTTCCAAAGCTCATTATGTTTTCTATTTCATACAGTTTTTTGAAGGAGAAATTAAGTGGAGGCTTGTGTTCGGCTGCTCAAAAATAACTCTGGAACGAAGCTGGGGAGTTTGCCCTGAGTCGCTGCGGGTCAGAACACCGCATCCCTTAAGGCCCGTGCTCGCTAAAAGAAATTTAATGCCTTTGTTTTTGAAATTTCCCACCTATAAATTTGAACACAAGCACTAACATGTCATTCATGTGGCCACTAGAGGCCCCGGCGCCCCCAGTCACAAAACCTGGGAGTCGGGCTCGGCATGGGCTGTGTCAAACCCTCCACCTCATTCTGACTGTGCTCAAGTGTGAGACTCATCTCCAGAATGAATACGCGACCAGCGCCAAATGTCAGGAACCGTGAAGCACGGCAGGGTGAGTTCCCACCCTGTTCCCACTGAACACTCACGGACAGTGCATCACTCACACCGCCTCTCCCTACATACCTGGGTACCGCAGCGTTCTGCGTTATCTGAGCAAGACTCATTTTTAGTTAACGTCATTTTAGTGAGAAAAGGGTCAGGACATTTCATCTGTTAATTCTTCTGCTAAGACATATTTGCTAGGACGGAAAGGCTATTTCTCTGCAAAGCATACCGTTCAAAATAATGTTTGGAAAACACAAACTTACAGTCAAATAACTTAAATGTAATTAAAGGCTAAGCAATATAGGAGAACCCATCCCAAAATAAAAACTGTAAATACACATACGATCTAGTCATTAGTTGTGTTCATGTTTACTGAGTGCTGTCAGGATTTCGAAAGCACGTTCTCAAAAGCGGGGGACCTGGCAGCGAAGTGTTAATAGTGGCTCCTCACCTTGAGGTGTCGGCTCTGCCACTGGCTTCGCCTTCACTTGGATCCCTCAAAACAAAGTGAAGGTTGAGATTTAATGATCAAGAAAACCGACATCTAAAATGATTTTAAAATTAACCGTTGAGCACACGTCTAGCATGACAGTTTTCTATTACTAGTCAGTCTAATACTATTTCTAATATTTTTCAACATAACCACACTTAACTGTCATTTATTGAGCGTCTACTGGGTATCGTCACAGAGCAGAGGCTAGGTGACAGTTCGGGATTATTATTATAATTTTTTTTTACATGATCTTCTAATTCTCAGACATGATCTTAAAGTTATAATTTTGGCTTAGTTCAGTTCAATCTAAAATTAAAAGTATTTAGTAATTATCGGAGCAAGATTCAACTTCATACCTGTTATTACACAGAATTCTAGTAGCCGCTCAATTTAGAAAATAAATTAACCTTATAGTTAGAAATAAAGCTCAACACACATATAAGTATTTCTAAAAATAAACATCAATTTTTAAATAAGCAATTAACTTATTTCAGAAGTTATGCTAATGATTCATGCACATGATAAAATATGACAGCAAACCAACAGGTGAGTTTAAAAACAAGAATGCAATCTTAAACAGAAATACTGACCTTACCTGGATATCCACCTGTGAAATGAAACCAGGAAAACTCGACTAATTGTCCTTTTGTTGAATATAATTAACATTTTTTGTTCACCAAAATTTTAACTACTTCGTCATTTTCAAAAGTAAATAAGTATCTACATAGGAGCATCAAGTTATAAACCAGTTTAAACATATGAAGAGATGGCTTGTGAGAGCAAAATACTATTAAAAAGTTGGGGGAAATCACCAACTTGAACCCCTAAGTTAATGTTTTCTTAACGTTTTAACCATTACATTATTTATGTAAAATGACTCCAGCTGGAATAAAATCAAGTGCCACTTTCCTCAGCCCCACTTCACCCCAAATTAATAAAACACATCCATCCACTGAGTTTTAAAACATGAAGACATTTTAATCTGGTGGTTAAAAATGTGAATGTCTTACGCTTCTTAGGGCCTTTAGCTACAGGCCCTTCTTGACAAACGTATTGTGTAAACCGCATTTTCCTATTTGAATGAGAAAGGATAATAAGATGTGTTCTCCCATTCGAGTGAGGTGGCTCAAATTTCTATTTTTAACACCTGGCGTTTTCATCGGGAAGTATAATAAAAATTCATCTATATAAATCTGTTTTGGTCAGAGCACACAGAAATAAATGAAGTCTCTTTGGAGCAGGTGCGAAGTGAAACGCACGGCCGGTGCACGCTGAGGTGAAGGGCGGGCCATCAGCTCGGCAGGAGTGACGGCCACGCTGTGCCTTCCGGTGGCAAAGGAAAGCTCTTTAAGAGGAAAGCGCGTGCGTCTCACGGGGCTTTGGTGCCCGCCTGGCACGCTGCCTGACGCCGCTGTGAGCGGATGTGATCCACTGCTGCCAGCATCGCGTACGAAATGCCCCTCAGAACGCACTCCCCCGGCTGTCATCATTGCAAGAGTGACCGACTTGTCACATCGTTTCCCACATCCTGTCCCTGCTTCCCTGGACACCTCTAGGCACGCTGACTGGACGCATTTCTGCCAGTGGGCCGTGATTTCCGACAGTCCGGTAAGTGGCCACGGCGGGCGGCAGCTGGGGACGGAGCGGGCGCTCACAGGTTTAGAAAAGCCAGCTGTTTTACAGATAGCAACACACACGCAATGAACTAAGTAGGTTACTCCCTATCTAAGAGGGAGCTACAGTTAAAAAAAGAAACCGCCAGGTTTGCTGTAGGGATGGATTATAGGGAACCCACCCAAAGCGAACGGGTCTAACGCTATTTAAAAGACCTGGGTAATCTCCATCCACATCTTCTCCTGAAAAGATGATTCTAGTGTGAATCTCTTTCGTAGCTGGAAGGTTCTCTCCTCAGACGAGAAGACGTCAGTGTACGGTCTGACCGGCCAAGAAGAACTAACTGGCTTCCTATCTGTGATAACACCGTTCGAGCACACGAATAACGCTAAGGTATTCGTTAACCTTCCCTTCTTAAAGCTTCCCAATCCAATTCCTTTACTCTTCTTCCCTGTAAGAATCCTCTTGCATCTTTCTAAGCAGTTGGTGACACATCAGCTTGGCTGGTCCCAAAGTCTGTGAGGTGTCTGGGTCCCCAAAGTTGCACTCAAAGTCGGCCCCGCCCCTGAGCACATGCAGTTCTGCCCGTCTGGCCACACGGGGGCGTCCGCGTGCGGGTTCCACTTGTCCAGGCTGTGGGCACAGTGACGTGAGGAAGGCAAAGGGAACAGAGAGACAGGAAGGGCTTGAGCCCAGGACGGGCTTAAGACGAAGGGACTGAGGGCGAAGAACGGACAGCCTGAGAAACGAGTTGAGAATGCTCTTGAGCTAACAAGGCTGGACACTGAGAAATTCTCTAGTTTGTCTGCAAGCCTCTGACCCTTCCCACAGTTCGATATGCTGTGAATTCAGAAAGAGCAACTCCACCTCCAGTCTGCCACTCACTGAAGAACTTAGCGGGTTCATTCCTGGGACTGTCACCAATACTTTGCTTGACTTCCTGCATTAAATCATTTGTGGCAGGTTACACAGCCCAATCTCCAGCTACAAGATGCTATATCAGGGTGGACCTCACGCGCTGCAGTGGACACAGACACGTGTGGAAAGCCAAAGCTGTCCACGTGGTGACAAGTGACCTTGGAGGAGAACTGAGACATTTTTCTCTTCTCTAAACCAAATCCAGAATTAATTAAAATGTGTTAAAAAGCAAGACATTGAAAAACCAAATTGCTGACACGGGATCGAAAACAACCTTCCCCTTCCTTCCTTCCCCCCTGGCCGAAAAACCCTGTGCTACATGACATTATTCAAAATTTAACAAGGGTCGTGAAGCTTCGGGAACTCTGGCGCCAGGTCCCGCAGAGGTTAGCTCTGAGCACCCTGACGCCCCTGGCCGCACTCGACTTGGGGATCCGCTTCCTTCATTAGAATTATAACCTTATTTGTTTGCTTTTCAAATTGTCTTCCACTACTCATGCATTTATTCAGGCATGTTTTTCGAATGCCGTATTGTATGTCATAGTAGGCTCTCGATATTCAGAGGAAGATCTGGCATAAAACAAAGCAAACAAACAAGCAAGTCCCTGATCTCGAGGAGCTCGTTTTCTAGCGGGGAGAGACAGACGACGAACAAATGCGTCGAGCATTTGTTATTTCAGGGAGCGTTAGCACTATGGAGAAAAATCAAGCAGGGAAAAGCATTGGGATGAAGAGGCTGTGATTTTAAATGGGGGGCGGGGGGTGTTGTCAGGAAGGCCTCCGTGAGGAAGGGGCAGTTGAGCAAAGACCCAAGGCAGGCGCAGAAGAAGCCAGCCACGCAGGTGTGGGGAGGAGGGCTGTGGGCAGAACGGCGTGTACGACACCCTGACCAGCGTGCTGCGGGGGCACACCTGGTGTGGAACGAGCAAGGGGAGAGGGGAGCAGATCAGGTCCGCGCGGAAATGGGTGGCCAGACAGCGCAGGGCCGCGGAGGGCACTGTCGGGGCTCTGAGCTGTCTCCTGGGCAAGAGGAAAGCAAGCTTTGAACCGAGGGCTTTAAACCGGGGACTCGCATCGTTGAAAACAGGAGCACGAGGGTGGACGTGAGGAGACGCGCTGGGAGGTGGCAGGTCGCTGACGATTTAGAAGGCGGGGCGGGGTGGGGCGGGACTGACGGCAGCAGCTGAATTCTAGAACTACCACGAAGCTGGGGCCCGCATGACTCGCTCACGGAGTTGGTGGGCGGGACGCGAAAGCGAGGCGCCAAGAATCCGCAAGGCTCACGGCCTGGGCAGGTGCAAGGACGGTGCCGCCACCATCCACGGTGCTGAGGAATGAGGAGGGGCAGGTTCAGGGAAGCGGGGTGGGAGGTGAACTCCGGACACGTTCTCTCGGAGGCTGAGTCACCACTGGAAGGTGGAATTGGACGTCAGGGGCCTGAACGAGATCACCAAGAGGACAAAGACCGAGCCCAGGGCCCGTCGGATAGTGAGAGGTCAGAGGGAAAGACAAAGGGGCCTAAAGAAAACCGGCAAAGGAGTCTGGGAAGAGACAGCTAGTTTGAGGGGCAGGAGGAAAACCAGAAGCAAGTGAGGGAAGCGTTTGGACTGTGGGAATGTTGTTCGGACAGTAAGTGGCCCGCAGGGCGGGAGGCGCAGGGTCAGTCTCACTGAGTGCTGATCGACAGCACCTAGCAGAGTGCCGAGCTCGGAGGAGGCCCTCGCGTACCTGTGAACTGACTACCTGGCAAGCCCTTTCCCCAGCAGGCTGTCTCTGCGGCTCTCTCTGCTCCGCCCTCCTGTCCTTGTCCACTGCGCTTTGTGCGTCCCCTCTCGAGGCTACAATTTTTATTGCAAAGAGAAATACTTTGTACAATGCTTAACGTACACTTAGCAATCAAGCATTCGACTCAAAATCTAGTTCATCTTCACTTCAAAATTAATTCTGGCTAAACCACGAGCAAGTATAGCTTCTGAAAATGGCTTTAACATGAGGCAATCTATTGATCTTACTGTTAAATTGTATACCTGAAACTTACTGGATTTTGTTAACCAATGTTACCATAATAAACATTAACAAAAAAATAAATAAAAATGGCTAGAAATAGAGGGCCAGGTTCCAACAGCAGAAACTACGGACAATCTCGCTGGCGCCCTGTCTCACTGTCATGCTGACGCTGTGGGGGAACTTCTAGGTCTTTCTCTGTCAAAGTGTCATACTGCATGGTAACTGCCCAAATGGTACAAAATCGACTGATCTGGTTTGAATCAGATGCTGAGTTTGAGTATTTAAAGTTTTAAATTCAGCTGTATGAGCCTGGACACACTGACCAAGGAGGTAGGTCCATAAACAGCTCCCATGAGGCAAGAGACTGAAGCTGCTGCTTCTCCCTCCGCGAAATCCTAGGAAAACTCATTAACGTCGAAAACCAAGTATTCAGTTAATAATTTTGAAAGCGCGTGCTATTACTCTCTCGCCCATGATTTCTTCTCTGCTCGGCTAACTAGATGGTTTGGAGCCTTAACTTCCTTCGCACACGGGAGCGACGTGCCTTCCGCGGGACACCCCGGCAGGGTGACCACACGCTGTTTCCAGAGCCCACTCTGTTCTCCATCAGGGCTCTGTGCTCACAGCCTGCTCCCGCCAGGACTGCACGCCCCTGGACAGCACGGACGCGGCCGCACTCATCTTTCTGCCCTCAGCACCTTGGACAGCGCTCCGACAGGCTGGACTCCCGCGGGCTTCCGGCAGCGCCTACTAACGGATCGGATTGACGTCTACTGATCTGGGCTTAATTTTTAGGAAACAGTGCAATTTTACTATTTCATTAGATTAGAAATGTACTATTTTCTTATATTAGTTTACTTTTATGCATTTATTTTGTGTTTACTATGTTTTGATGTTAAGTTTTTCTGATGTTAAATTATGTAAGTAATCTATACGATGGTAGGACATAGACTTTTTAGAAGGAAAAAAGGGAAATTACATATTATGGGTGAGAAGTCTAAAAGTTCTTAAAGAAATGTTACTTTAAGAATAATAATAATAATAATAACAATAAATGTAAAATCCTATTTAATTCCTTTTTCTAATCCAAGGCCGTTAAGGAGGGTGAACGTTTTTTGTTAAAACCCAGTTTTGATGTCAAGTTGTGCTCTTTCCACTCGACAGAATTTTTAAATCCTCATTTCATCCCTTTTTATTGTTTTTTTTTTTTCCTTTCTCTCCAAAAAAGAGACTTGATGCCTTCCTTGAATTTTGTCTTCAAACGTCTGTCAAAGCGCAGCTCTAATATAATAAAATGTCACGTCACCATTTTGAGGGGGCGAGTCACCATGCAGATTACGAAGGGGGGACCCCCTCAACCCCCACCCCAATGCCCCGGGCCGGCCGCACTGACCTGCGCGCGAACCTGGACGCGATCTTGCTGATGAGCCCGGTGGACGTGCCCCTGCGCGCATGCGCC